CAAAATTTGTTAGTTTTTTAAGAATGCTACTAGATATAAAGTTGTAGAAATATTCATACCGATAAAATAGAAAAAAAATAATCAATGTGACTTTATGGAGTACAATTTTAAATACTAGTAAAAAAATTTAGTTTTTTATCATACTTAGAGGCTTAACTGCCGAGAAATATAAAACTGAGGACTAAAATTATATCACTCCTAAAAAATTGATCAAATTGTCATCGGAGTTTTTTTTATATATCAATTTGTCTCCAAACTTTTTTTTTACTTATGGACTCGTTTGGTAGTTTGCACGCTAAATCTTTGCACGCGAAGTGATTGCATGCAAAGTATAGGAAAACAATCATTTTGCATGTAAAATAGATTATATTGTTTGGCTAGATGTTTTATTTATTTTTAAATTGCATGTAAAGTCGTTGCAGTGCTTCATAAAAGGCATACAAAGTATTTTACCACCTAGGGGCGGAGCCAGGATACTAGGCCGGACTAGACCGATACAAAGAATATTTTTTGGAACAAATTTTACATGGATTTTTTTACACTAAAAATTTAGACATTTTTAAAATTTGGGCTGGGCCAGGGCTAGGCTTGGCCCTCCTTAGCTCCGCCCCTGCGAGCTCCCCCCACGTAAAATATTTTACATGGTACAATGCAAAATGTTTTAAAAATGTACCCTACAAGTTACATTAAATAATCAAACCAAACATTGTAAACATTTTACGTCCTTACACTTCGCATGGAAAGTAATTACTTTACGTCCTACCAAACGTCCCCTATTTGTTAAACCACCTTTTTTTACATGACCTCGTCCCCTATTTGTTAAACCACCCTTTTTTACATGACCTCGAAAAAAGAGTAAAATCTGTGAATCTGTGATACGGCAAGGTGAAAATCCAAATTAGTACGGAATAAATTGGAGTGGTGATTACCGTGTACTAATGACCATTTATTACAAAAACAACCATTTTGTCGTAATTAGGAGACAGCAAATGCTCCGTATTATTCTCAAATTGGAATTAACCCACACGGAGTAATCACTATTTAGATTTGGTGTGCGAATTCTACTCTATGGCCCTACGATTCAACATCTATTGTGATGGACTGATGGTTATAGGTAACTTTTCTCCTTTTCCTTTTACATTTGTGTTCTCTCTTGCCAGACCTATTTGAATCATTTGATGAATTGAAGTTTGAACGTAAAAAAGAAATAAAGGAAGATAAAATACTACGTATACTTCGTATCTACTCGCCTACTCGGTATATTTTAGAATTAATACGTAATTAACATGTAATGCAATGCACAAAATATAAAATTGAATATTAATACGTATGATCGATAAGATCCATAAATGAACTTTTATAGGCCTTATTTTTACTCCTACACGTACATAATTCATAATTGTATAAGATGTCAATTGAATTTTGTTTGATTGGCCAGGGAAGGCTAGGGGTGGGCAAAAATACCGAACCGGCATGGTACCGAACCGAATCGATATGGTACCGGACCGAAAAACGGGGTTTGAAACGGATATCAATTTTTTTGTCCCGAACCGAATCGTACCGATTCTAAACAATGCCATGACCGGTTCTCATAAAATGAGAACCGAAACCGGACCGAACCGAACCGAAGTATGATTTAATTATTTAAATTTACATTTATAACATTATTTTGACTAGTGCCTTTACAATTTCACCGTCTTTGCTAGTTCATAGGAAGCCTGGAATCGGACCGATGTATGGTTTAATAATTTAAATTTGTACTACTATAATTTATCTGAAATTTATTAATTATGTAATACTACCTCCGTCCTAAATTGATTTGAAAAATTAACTTTTTTGTCAAACAGATTCATTTTATTCACTTAACTAGAATGTCAATTTTTAATTATATTTAATTTGGAGCTTGCAACTTTGAAGAAATTTCAATGTAGTTTCTGAATATGTTTATTTTAATTATTACAAATTGAATTAATTATCAATGAAGAGAATTTAACTCTAACATTGGTTGACCAAAAAATATTGACTTTGCATGTCAATTTGGGATGGAATGAGTATGAAAATTGATAAATTGTGTACATTTTTGGAGGACGACTAAACTTTAATTGTCTCTTAAACACTTGGAAAAAGTGACATTGTTTGGTATTGGTATGGCATGGTACCGTCCCGTTTCAAAATGAAACCGTACCGAACGGGTTTAGGCCTAAGACCGAACCGAACCGAACCATTTGAATAGTAACGGTACGGGTTCGGCCAAATATTGGACCGGACCGGACCGTGCCCACCCCTAGGGAAGGCAGTGTACACCTTGTTTGGACAATAAAAAACAAACACAAATTTTGATTTCTTTTTTATTTGGAAGCCACTAAATCTAACTTTAGTTAATAATAAGAATAACAATATGCAAGAAACCGACAATAAAAATGATGCACCCCATTCCTTGATGTATCTCAGAATTGGTATTAAGTTAGACTCTAATCACAATGTAGTTTATAGAGTATGATATCTGCATATAGTACTTACAAAAGCTAGCGTAATTGTCAAAAAATTGAATCTAAGGTCGTCGATGAGTTGAGTTACGCTCAACGATTAGCCAACAATGTAGAGTTAACAATATAGAGTTATAGTACGTTTAAAGTCCTTCACTTGACTCGGTGTTTATATCTTATTGGTATCTAGATCTTTTAAACTAATACTACCTCCGTCCCTAAATGTTCTTCCAAAATAAAGTGGCACACTGATTAAGAAAGTGAGAATTGTGTGGTGGAGAGTTGTGCAGAGGAGAGAGAAATGTTGTGAACCACAAATTCTTTGCCAAAAAGGGAAAGTGAAGTTCTTTTTGGGACGGACGAAAAGGGAAAGTTGGAAGTTCTTTTAGGGACGGAGGGAGTAACAAATCTTGAAACTTTCAAGAAAAAAATCAGATACACACTGAGACAAGTGTTACAAAGGTTAGGAAACCCAATACTAAAATTTAAGTTTTTTCAATTGTCAAATACTAACACTTCATCGAAGAATTTGTAAATACTCGTGATGTGTTTCGTTAGAAATGAGGATAATATAGTGGGGCTAGTGTCAATAACTTGGAGAAAAAAATGAGTGAGATGGAGAGAAATTGGACTCCTAAACTTTCAACTTCTTTTGGAATGGAAAGAAGGTCGAGCTTTGCTTGATGTACACCCCCAATTACACAATGATTATACGTTAAAGTGTAATTGTTTGCGTACAGACAATTACACTTGATTTTTAGTAAAACGAAGCGTTTGTAACTCCAAAAAATGAATTGTCTGTGGGGTCACAAACATTTTACTTTACTAGTATAAACTCAAGCATAATTGTCTTTGTACAGACCATTATACTTGACTGTGTAACTCGATGTTCACAAAGCTAAGCAAAACTCAACGCGGTTTCCCCTCCTCATCCATCATCTCAAAGCAAACACTTCCTAAATTTTTTTGGGCGTGTGAACACCCCTAATCGGGTATGGTTGAGTTATGAGACTGGAGAGTAAAATTGGCCGGGGTTGGGTTAGAAAGTAACCGCAAAGACGAGTTTATGACCGTTTAGAAACGGGACACAATAGACACGTTGCATTGTACTGCAAAAGAACACAGTCAGAAATAGCAAACCAACAAAAAAAATTGTCCTCCACAGAGCACTTTCCCTCGATCAGTCGGCGACCCCCACCCCCTATTTACCGTACACTCCATTTCTTTCATTTCTTTAGTTCTAACGTAACACTCGTAGTACTACGTATTACATTCCTTTTGCAAATATTAATTCCACTTCTTTAGTAGCAATTTGAAACATAATAAGTCTCTTTATTACCCTCTATATATATTTGGTGAAATAATTCATAACAATAATCCTTACTTTTAGGAATTCTACTATAATAATCTCTATTCAGAGTTTCCACAAAAAATAATTCGAACTAGCAATGGTGTTATTGTGTTAATAAAAATAAATTGGGATGAACTTAAACTAATGTCTGCTTAATATTCTTAATCCTTACTTCCACTTTTCTCTCCCCCATTCTTCTTTTATGGACAAATTTCAACTAAAGCACGTTTAATCTCAACATTATTTCTGCAGTATGTGGTATTCTATAGGTTAGAACATCAAAATGTTAACCAAGACGAAGAATGGTAAAAGGGAAAGTGAGGGTAGGGGTTGAGACTTGAGAGTATTAAATGGACATTAGTTTTAAAGAATTCACTGCAATTTCTTCTTGTAAATTTCGCCTAATTTTAAAGATCATGTCAAATTTAAAGACATTTATTCAATCACAAAATTCAGTCTCACAAGCGAAAGTAGGATTTGTACTCCCTCCGTATCAATTGAGGTTCTCGATTTTAGCTTTAAGACCTCGGAACTAAAGATTCTTATTTCTATTTTTTGAAATAATAAATATTTCTTAATGATAATTTGATCATTAGATATTAAAAATAATACTTTAAAGTTAATATTAATGACTTCATTATATTATAAACTATTGAAAATAATTTTTCAAGATATATACTTGAATTACTATATTTAATTATTATCATAATATTTGTGTAATTTTCTAATAGATATTTTAAGCTCGAACGGAGATATAGTACCTTATCAATTGAGTTGATCACCGATGCTAGCTTAATTTTATCATTGAAATAACTCATATTAATAATTAAATTTACGTCAATGGAATGAACTGAAAATTGATCCTCAAAATTAGAGAGCAAAAAATCGTGGTGAGCAACGAATACATTTTAAATTGATACAAATAATTTTTTTATTTTTTTGTTTCTTTGAAATTACAAAAAAAAAGTAACTTATAAATTCATATAGTTAGTTTTTTTTAAAGAAAGAATTCATATAGTTAGTATGACGTTTATTTTGTGAAACATTAACGATTTTCAATAATGGATTTTTTTAATGAATTAAGAATGAAGCCAGTATTAACGTTTTATGTAGGTAGTATTAAAAAAAAATAAAAACCCAGTATATTGTACTCGTACTATACTAAACCACGACCCTGACCCAACAACCCATAATATCACTCTCAACTTTGTTCTCTCCAGAAATCTCCTCATCACCCTCTCTCTCTCTCTCACCGACCTTGCCAGAAGAAATCTCTCTTCTCTAGATTCCGTCCAAAATTTCCCAGACTCCCATCTGCAGGATCAGCTCGAAGAAATATGGCTGTTTTTGTGCTCTTTTCAGTGCTTTTCTTGGCTTTGGTTGGCCTTTCAAGTACGTTTTCTCTCGCTAAAGCTTCCATTTTTTTAAAAAATTTTCTTGTGCAGCAATTGAAAAATAAAATAAAATAAAATATGCCTGAGTTTTTCTGAGCTGAATGTTTGATATTTGTTGTTGGGGGTGGTTTTATTTAATTATTGATGATGTGGGTGCAGGAGGGGCATCCTGTGTGTGCAAAGCTGGGGTGGGTGATGCTCAGCTTCAGAAGAGCATAGATTATGCTTGTGGGAATGGAGCTGACTGCTCTGCTATAGCGCAAGGTGGGGCCTGCTATCAACCAAACACCCTCTTAGATCACTGCAGCTATGCTGTCAACAGCTATTATCAGAAGAAATCTGCAACTGGAGCTACCTGTGATTTTTCTGGAACTGCCACTATTGCTACTTCATCAAGTATGTTAATTTTAACAAAACACATTCTTTACTTCACTCCCCTTTTCTTTCATTTCAACGACTTTACTGATCACTTGATGTTCTTCAATTTCTTGTTTGTCAACAGCCCAAAGCAATGGAATTTGCAGCGCTGGGTATGTATTCTTTTAGCCCCTTTTGGATCTGTGTGCCATTTAATTTCTATTCCAGATCACTTTTTCTCCTCTGATTTGATTTAAGGATTTAGGATTCAATTTCTTGTTCAAAATAAAGAAAGCACAGTTTTTTAATAACAAAAATAGGCTGAAGCTGATTATGTGAGTAAAAAAATGATTATGTGAGTAATGAGTAATATAACGGGGTATCTGTGGGTGTAGCTCAGCCGGAACTGGTTAATAGGGAGCTCAACTGGTTTAGCTCAGCCGTTTTTTCTATTCGTAGGGGTGTTTTTTATTTCACTCCCTCCGGCCTCCGACCCTTGAAAGTTTGTTCGGCAGGAATAATAAAGTTAAAACTGGGTGTTTAAGATTAATGGAGAAGAGACCGAAGTAACAGGATCACAAATGAATTGATTAAAAGAGGAAGTGTGTTAGAGTTATTGGGACAACCACAAAATGAAAAATGGCAAATTTATAAGGGACGGAGGGAGTAATAGTTATGGGGTGTGTCACACTCTTAGCTGGTTGGCCAGCCATGACGATGATATGTGTGCTTTCTATGAGTTGGGGCTGTTGGGTTTCCTTATTTCGGTCCTTTTGTAATTACATTCTTTCTCACTAGCATATCTTGGTCTGTGAATTTTGCTGCTTTCACATGCTTATTTTTAGCTATTTCAATAAGCTTCAAGTCCATACCTAATCGACCCTTGTGTTTAGGGCTCATTATGGTTTTCAGTTTCATGTTTTTTTATCAAACAAAACACATAATTACGGTTACTTTTGAGTTCATCTTGTATCATATAAACGTCAAAACTGTTAAATAAAACTTTGAAAAATAACAACACGGAACTTGCTCTCGGCATTGTGGAGAATATAATTGCATAATGTGTGTGGTTGTGTTGTGCATTAATGTTGAAAAAGTGGATACTATACTATCATGGAATAATATGGAAATAGGTTTCTTATCTTGGCCTCTCCAATGTATTTGTATATATACACCTTCATTCTGGTTATTGACAGCAAGTCAACAGTCGTAGTTTATTTCCTAGAACTAATTGTGATATTCTTGAATAGCACGGCTAGTGGAGGCACATCTACCTCAACCCCGACAAATACCTCCCCAACTTCTGGTGGGAGCACCGGAACCGGGATTGGGACTGTACCCGGGACAGGAGCAGGGACAGGCACCGGGAGTACAGGAACAGGAACAGGCACCGGGATAGGAACAGGCACCGGGACAGGAACAGGAACAAGCACCGGGACAGGAATAAATGGTAATGTAAATCCAACGTTTGGTGGCGGTGTTGGTGCGGGACTTGCACCAACAGGAGGGATTACCACAACCACAGACGGCAGTTCAGCGGCCGAATCTCACCCTAAAAGCACCGGCTTCTTGATCGCTCTATCACTAGTGGCATTGAGCTTTTTTGCCTTTGCTCCTCCTCTAATGGCTTCTTTTTGAAAGAAGGAAGAACACTGGGGTGTTTTTTGATTCCTTCACAGGACCATAGACTTTGATTCCCTCTTTCCACATATGATCTCTTTCTCTCCATTTCCACCTTTACGGTGGAAAAGATGGAATTTGATTCCCCGTATGGTGGAACTGTTCTGGGAGGGTAGTACTAGTAGATGCATTATTAATATTTAGTATAATATTATTTAGTACGGACCACTTATCAAGACATATCTTCTCATTCCTTCTTTTTGAAATATTCCACTACTACTGTGTTGTATATTATCTATGGTGACAATAGAGAGGCAGGCTGTATTTTTATATTATTCTCCCATGGGAAACAAATTTGACCACTAGCTAGTAGCTACTATAATGAGAGACTCACTATCCCTTTTCATTGTGTTCTTTCATTTCTCTCACTCCCTAAATGAGTAATAATACTATGTAGTACTGCCTATTTTGTTTGCCTTCATCTTTCTTCCTATTTTGATAAGTTCCAAGTTTGTCTTTTTAACTTTGATATTCCAAAATTTTGAGTCCCAACTCCCAAGGCCTCCACACCCGACCCAACAAGGCATTTGGAGATTCTAAATCACGGTGATTCAGTCAACTCAATGGTGATAGATCTTCTACTCGTGTGTAGAGGTCTAACCTACACTGGTGCTGTAATCTTCACACGATCCAATGTTGGTTTCAATCTTTGATCAATATTTCAACTTGAAAACTGAATTATCTTGAAGTAAATTGTCTTTTTAACTTCGAAAAATATAGTGAGTGTGTTAACATGAAGAGTGGTGTAAAATGTCTGAAAGAGCACATTAGCGTCTTCGTTAAATTTGGAGCACATTAGAGTCCTCACTCTATTTACTTTAGTCGTTTAGTGTTCACAATCATGTTTACTTCACGGGCTCAAAATCAACTGATAATTCTCGATTTTTTTACGCAAGGAGATAAAGTAATAAACTTTCTTGACTCTTGAGGCGAGTACCAATGAGGAAGGTACTTTAGAATAATAAATCCTTGCTCCATGCTGTAGAATTAAAATTCCCTTCTAAATTTTTCGGCACATTTTTGGAAATATGGACTTTGTCATGTGTGAAAACCGAATGCACTATTTCAGTCAAAATATATGGTCCGTTTGCTTTTAGTAGAAAAACAGAGAGAGAGAGGGGGGTAGTAACATGGGTAGGGGTAAGTTGGTTCGTCTCTTACTTTTGTTTAAACTTTGGCGTTTTACAAAATGGATGAAATAATTACATATACCGAGTATAATTTAAAACTAGGCTTTTTATACAAGTTTCACGTATAACGAGTAGAGTAGTAATTTTGATCAAAGTAATTTATGCTCAAGGAATTTGCACGTCAGCATTTGCTTGTGCGCTTATCATTTCGGCTCCATAGATTTGAATTTTTTGTGCATAAACAACTCCATTGTCTGCGTAATAGACAGTTAACAGGATAGCCCACTAAATTAATATTGATGACCAATAAACGAGTACACGAAATGCAAGTTTATGTGTCATGATGAAGCAGCTATTCTTTGTCTGCACCAATATTGTAAGTTTAGGATTAGAGAAACACGTTTTGTATTTGCCCGGCAGCCCCGGCTATTCTTTTTCAATCTATAAGGTGAATTGTCTGTGGTTCAAATAAATATTTTTTTGTCTGTGTAAAGACAAAACGGACATATAAATTGCATGTACGCTTTCGACATGTACACATAGCTACTTTGTTAGGAAGAAGAGCAAGTGTACCCCCTCTATTTACAATGGAGTTTGCAAGTGTACCCCTCTATTTACAATGGAGTTTTTCTTACCGGAGTATATTCTATGTAGCACCGATACGGAAACGCGGAAACGGGTACGAGAATACGACAAAACAAAAAAAGTAGAATACGGATAGGGGGTCATATTTCTAAATATTAAAAGTTATGGGGGTGTATTTATAAATATTAAAAGTACAATTTTTTTTTTGAAAAAAAAACACATATATTATCATCTGACGTCTACCCATTCATAACATTGAAACATTTTACATTTTCAAGATACTTAAAAATAAATTCATATTTTATCTCATATACACCAGTTCATCTCAAAATATAAATATAGTCAATAAGTCATTAATTTAAAATGAGAATTAAGTCAAACAACTAAAGTTTTGAAATTAAAAGTACGTGAAAATGATCAAAATTCTAGAATAGTGAAGACATAAAACAATATTTTTAAAGTTCTATTACATATTTTCGTTAAACCTATTAATTTCCAAGAATAATTAGAAATAGGGATAGGAAGATGGGTGAATCAGGAATACGCCCATTAGTTGTGTATCCTCTATTTACAATGAGTTTTTCTTATATCCTTCACAGAGAGAGATATGGGGGTGTTGGGAAAGCATTCATTCTAACCAGGGACGGATCTCTTCTATGCAAGGGTGTTCACATGAAGTAAAAAAACAATGGGAATATATATATACATACACACACACAAATTAGAGTAATAATTTATTTATTAGTATTTTAAAGAGAGAATGTGTAATTTTGAACACCCAAATTGTAAACACTAGATCCGCCATTGATTCTAACAATTAAAAATGCTAGGAGAGGAACCTACTGAATCCTAGTGTTCAGAGGAGGCCGATCTGGGGAGGAATGTGTAGGCTGTGGACGGCCTAGATGAGTATCTTATTTTAATTTGGCACGATTATTAATATAAATTGATTGAAAAGTAAATTTTATTGAGATTTAAATATAATCAAGTGAAATGATTTGAATCACACATTTCTTGTAAAAAACATAACATTCTTTTCTAGACAATACACAAAGGAAAATAAACAATCACGGAGGGAGTACGATGTACTAGAGATGTTCATCAGTTCGATTTCATCGATTTCAATTTTATCTATTCCGTTTTGATCGATTTCAATTTTTAATCGGTCAATTTTGATCCATTTTATCTATTCCGATTTGAGAGAGTTTTCTTGTATTGGCTAATAAACTCGAGACAGTGTGCATCATTTGCATTGCATGATAAACTACGGAGACCTAGCGTCAGACGTGTGATCTAGCCAGCCGTCTAGGCATGACTTTGTAGACCTTAGACCGTTGGACACCTTGCCATCTTAGGCTTCAATGAGACTAATCTAGGCATAATTTGGATTTTCTTTTTGCCTTTATAAAAGAAATACTAATACTATTGTGATACAAGTATTTTTCTAGTTCTACTACGGGCATGTTTGGCACAACTAGCTGAAAAGATACTTTTTTGAACTTTTTAATAGCTGTTAGTTTTTAGTGACTGAAAAGATCTTAAAAAGAAAAGGTGGTAGCTGTTTGATAAAAAGCTGATTGTTTAATTTAGTTCGGTTTGGTATACAAGCTGTTAGGATGAATTAATACTAAAAGTCACTAGCTTTTCTTAGATGCTACTCCCGGTAGCATCTCAAAAAAGATCTTTTAATTTTTGAAAAGCTCTTAAATATTATCATGCCAAACACTCAACTAGAAGATTTTAGGAACTTTTTGAGCAGTACAAAAGCTAGAAGTCAGGGACTTACGCCCGCCAAACATAGCCTACGTACTCCGTATAATAAGTCTTTTGCACAATTACAAAAACAGGAAATCCGTCAAGATAACCTCATATTATTATATCAAAAAATTACACTAAGCTCTCATATTTCAAATAAAATATTTCAAATAAAAGTTAACCCTCAAACTTTTGAATTACATTAGAGTACATTACATTACACTATATATACATATATATGAATGGAAAATGGAAACTAATAATCCAACCTTTTAGCGGTTTTCTTTCAATAATCCCACCTTTTGATTATTCATGAATAATCCAACTTTTGCACCTCATCTTCATTCACTGGTCCCTGACCGGTTGATGACCTGCTATTCCCAGCTATTTTCTTATCTTTGTAAATCACTATATCATAAATCTCATCTTTCACAAAGATAATATTTTGGAAAGATAAGAAAATAACTTGGAATAGTGGGTCATTAACTGACCAGGGACCAATGAATGAAGATGATGTGCAGAGGTTGGATTATTCATGAATAATCAAAAGGTGGGATTATTAAAAGAAAACCGCTAAAAGGTTGGATTATTAGTTTTCATTTTCCCTATATATGAATGTGTAGTCTATATTTAAAAGGGAAAAATAACTAAAATACCCTAAAATTGAAAGTGGTGTGAGAATGTGAGATAAATAGCTCAAACTTTTATATGTGATTTATAAACCCCAAACTTTTTATAAAAAGTTATTTTAACATCATGACCATGTATTATTTATTTCAAAAATGTAAATTTATGATGTTAATTGCATAATATAAAATAACAAATTGAAAACGTTGCAATTATATAGATTGGAAGGGTAATACTATTTATTTCACAATGTAAGTTTAGAATGTTAATTGTATCTTCATGAATGGTAAAATAGTTGAAATTATGAAATTAACACAAAAAAGTAACATTTTTGAAAGAAATAATACATGACCATGGTGCTAAAATAATTTTTTTTAATAAAGTTTGGGATATTTAAATTACATATGCAAGTTTGAGGTGCTTACCTATTTGGGATATTTTAATTATTTTTCCCTATTTTTTAAAATGTTGTTTTAGACATTTTAATGTTAAAATCATATTTTAAATATGTGCCTATAACACTACTTATTTTATGCACCACTTACTATTGTGTGCTATGATAAGCATTGTTTTGTAACCTGCGAATAAACATGTCCATAATCATTTAAAAAATCATTTACATGCAATTCCTTATACCCAGAGGTAAATAGTTGTGATGGGGAACTTAGAGGATAAACTGAGCGACTAGTGATTCAAATCTCAAGAATTTTAGGATTAGATTTTTCGGAGACCACATTTAGTCAACTGCGAAACTGGTTTATCTCCAAAAAGGGACGGTGGGTTTGGAACTATTACAATTTACAAGTCTACATTGTACTTGGACAAAACGTGAGTCACAACTTTTGACCCAAAAGATGAAAACATGTGCCCATCGACAAGGATTTCATATATACAACCATAAACGTGGATTCCCTTCAATGTCATGTGATCACAATAAGCTTTTCAAGAAAACTACAAATTTCACCCATCACAATTTAACATGTACATCCATCTATAAAACCCGTCCACTCCGTCCAGATGCATGCAATTGAAGGATAACACCATATAACGAGCACGGGCTGACAGGCGGGTTTGTTCACCAAGAACTAACCAGAATGTTTGTATACCTTTAATCACCCATTTCGATATTAATCTTGAACTGTGGCAAGTACACCAACGGGCTTCTCTAGACGTGATCTATTAGCAGTAATGAATTCCATAATCAGATTAGAGACGACGGTAGGCTTCTCCACATGAGGAATGTGCCCACAATTTGGGATCTGGCGTATCTTTGCATTTGGCAATTCACAGTGCAAGCGCTGCATTGATTACACCCTTTGTTATCCCCCCACTAAACAGAAGTAATGCCACCCACCGCCTTAAAAAGGGAACAAAAAAAGAGAGGCAATGATTAGAAGAAAACTCACAACTGCAAACTTGTAGTCAATGATCTTATCATTTTCTCCCCATATTATTAGAGTTTTTTGCTTCACCTGTATGAATAAAACAATAAAAATAAAAGTAGAGCATGATGTTTAGTTATTAGGCCTCTTCTGTTTTGCCCAGAATCTAAGTCATCACAATTTTGTTGTTTTCTAGCTTGTCACCCTTACCGCTTTTATCTGATCAGCGACATTATACCCTCCACTCATCATAAAATTCACAGTTGCATCCTCCCACCAGGGTAATAAACAATGCAAGCGTCCAATCTGAAAAGTAACAGCAGAAAATCACACATTGCCATTTGGAACTGTATTTTTTTTTTGTATAATGGCAATGAAAACTTCACTTGCAGCATACTGACTAATGGACAACAAATACTCATACGACTGTTATCACTAAGATTATATAACATGGACAAAAATATGACTTATACAGCATACTGACTATGATGTTATTTCTAGACTCTAGAGTGATCATAGTGATGCTCAATAATACTATGCAGTCACCATGATGGTAAATGGTGGTATTTTCAGACTGACCATGATGTCATATTTTTGTCCATAAGAAAACTTTGCCAAATAATTAGGCTTTAATTATTGTACAAAGTACATTCATCTGCTAATTGGTTGTGCCACATTGTATACTTATTGTAATGAACATTAAAAGAAGCAGCAAATTTCGAGAATGGAGACCTCGTAGGGTTATTGTAAACTACCATAAATATGATCACACAAGACTCACATTTGTCCAGTCGGTGACAATATTGAAGGGTAACCTATTGAAAGTCAACAAAACTGCAAACAAGCGAAACGGGAGGCTTTTCAACAAGGAGGCCTGTCCAAAAAATGCAGATTTTTTTTACACAATTAAGTATTACTCGTAATAATGAATCTTTTCCTGTGTCAGGGTTCTAACTATAGTATGATATGAGGGTTTACCCCAGCATAAGCTACTGGTTCAGGTAGTGTTGCAAGTTTTCCGGTGCCTTCTGCATACACACTTGCATCAATCAAAACCAGCTTATCCACCTGCCTCAGTTCAATTAAATCAGCCATATAATTGCCCAATATAACCTAAAAAGATTGTTTAGATTAAACAACTCTTCAGCTGATTCGTCTTATTTAGAAGAACTTACAGCTTGTGGATAGTTGATAGAAAAGTCTATAGCAACTGCAGATCCAAGACTTGGCCCAACCAATGTCATTGGCCTTTTGATATATGCTTTCCAGAACTGAGACAAATATGAGCCTGTGTTGTAAGGTTAACTTTTGAAAAAGAAACAGAATATTGAGACATAGTATTCTAGAGTTTATTCAGATGCTAAATCAGATTCATTTGGCAGTGCAACTACTTATCCCCCAACTCACATCATCTATATTTTGCGTATACACTACGAGCCCATATGGAAAGGCCGAGAGCCTTTGGTAAAACTACGACAATTAGTTGAATTGGGTAAAATTACTACAGTTGTGGATGAATTGGTTGAATCTAAAGAGTTATGAAAAAGTAGTTTTTCAAAAATATTTTGTCAATGAAGTAAAGAAAAAATAAATATGGAGTAGGAAAAAAGCTAAATGGTCCTTTTTGGCCCATAAAACCAAATACTAGTTTTGGCCTTTTGGGTAAAATTATGAAACATAAGGCTAATAAGCCAAATAACAAGGTCACAAAAGTGGCATGAAAAATAGCTGATCCTGCTCAAATCGGTGAAGTTGTGGCTAAATGTGGTTAATTGTCTAAAAACTCTTTAAATACGACTCAGTCACTCTTAATTGGGGATTTTTATACTTTTGATAAGATAAAATAAGTCCTATTTTAGGAATAAAACATAAGTACTTCTATGTATGTTTTAGTCTTATTTGGAGCAATTTCTTTTGTCTAAAGTCATGCACTACTTTTTTTTTCATTTACAAGCCAATGTTCTAATGATAATTGCTGCTTGGTGGAAAAACTGGCATATTAGGTTAATACGCCAAAAAACAATGTGCACCAAACGGGCTCTACATCTTATCTACTGAGTAATAATAAAAAAAATTAACAGAGCTAACAAGCTTACATAAAATGAACAAGCAAATACTCCATATAAGATATGAGTACCTGATAAAGATGATCACGCTTGGAAGTGACATCACATGCTGGAAGCCTTTCTAACCAGGGAATAAACAAAACAATTCTTAATCCTCACCTAAAAATTAAGCCCTGAAGTGAAAGGGTTAGCATACCTAAATCAGAGAAACCCCATCCAACAATATCAATTGCCCATGTCTCCAACCCAGCCTCCTCGAGCATCGGAAATACGTACCTCCATTCTAAAAGTGAGCTGAACAGTATAAGAAGATATGAACAATATGCATATACATATAATACGATGGCAGCAAATAAAGTAGACCATCACTAGACTTTCAGAATGAAGCTATCTATCTACCTGTCAAAACCATGGAGAAGAACAACCGGATTCTCCCCACTCTGCTCTACGGGCATCACACAACTGCTCATAATACAGCCTTCAGAAAAGCTGACCTAATTTGGACCATTTTGAATTTATCATTCTACAAATATGCAGGATGAAGAAAGAGTGAAGCTGGCTTACTGGGAGTCTCTCAATTCTTGAAGCCAGTTTTCTGGCTTGTGGGTCTTTGATATTTTGAACTTCTATTGGAAGAAACGCCGGAAACTGACCAGCCCAAACACTCAAACGCTTTGCTCTCCGGCAATTCCCGGTGAATCTTAAACCCCGCTGTTGTGGTGGTGGTGGTATAAGGCCACCGGCTGAAACGGCCAGAGCCTGCATTTCTCTGAATTGAAGCGTCAAGCAAGGCGATGCTACTCTTACAGCATAAAATTTCCTAACAAAGAATGAAAACTTCACAAATGATCCATGGCCTATCGTCCTATACTCTATCAATAATGCATTAATGCTTGGTTGAATTGTTGTATGAATTTTGTACCCACTGCAGAAGCATACATTATACGTAGTAAATTTTAACCTCTAAATAGTATGAGTAATATAGATAGCGTTAAGGGAGTGTTTGCAATTGTTTCAACTTTAAAAAAGTGATTTTTTAAAGTGATTTTGGGAAAAGTGATTAATAGTAAAAGTTGGTAGTGTTTGAGAAAAAAGTGATTCTGAAAAAGTAAAAGTTGGTAGTGTTTGGTAAAATATGTACTTTTTGTGTAATAGAAAAAGTGAAAAACAGTTTAAAGCACCCTTCCACCTGCTTCCAGCTTTTAGCTTTTAAGTGATTAATTTAAGCAGAAGCTGTCATTTGAAAACACTCTTTTTAGCTTTTTTAAGCCAAAAGCTGAAAAACACTTTTTTTAAGCAATCCCAAACACTGCTTAAGTAAATGAAAAGGTAGGAAATGGCTATTATGAGAAAGAAAAGTAATGAAAATGTGTGAAAGAGAAAATAATTTCTTAAAAAAATAAGAGTAATAAAAGTGAGATTATAAAAGTATTCTCATAGGGAAAACTTAGTGCTAGTGAAAAGAGAGACAAATAATACAAAGCAATACGAGACAATTATTGGAGAACGGATGGAATATTTAAATTAAGTACTTTTTTTCAAATCAAATAACTAATTTATTCATTAAATGATACTCCATTCGTTTTGCTAAGATTATCTCATACCAAAATTGGTTAAATTTGTGTGATTCTAAATCATTTTTACTGTATTCTTACTTTACCAATTCAACATCACTTACATATTTTTTTCTCTAAATAACTGTGTTACCTTCTTATGTGCCAATGTTAGTGGGAAAGATGTAGTAACAAATATACAAGTGAATGAAGAGCTTAAGACTACAATGAGATAAAAATAGAACAGAAAGGATCTAACAGATCCTCCCAGTTCGCTAACTCCACGATAATGTAGTCTACTTCGGTTGTCTTGTTGCTCTTCAAGCTACTACAAAGATAAAATAAAAAATTATAAATAAAATAGTCCGCTTCACCGGCCACTGGAAATGGAGAATTAGTTTGATCAGAAACCAACAAAGAAAACTCAATTGAGTAGAAATTGGATGAATCGTCGGTTTGATCAGGCACCGAAAAAGAGATTCAGTTGAGCGTCAATTTTCTCACAAAGTGGAGCGGTGGTTCAAGAGGAGGGCGAGTAGTTGAAGTTTCATAATTAGATTGAACCCGCCTTGCCAACTGAAATTTGGTGGTACACTTTATGTGTAACATGCTCACAAAACTTTATTTAAAAAATCGTACCGAAAGCACCTCAACGGATTATTGTCCCATATATCAAACCATCCATTTGTAGGAGTAAGATGTTATGATAGAAAATGTACCATCTACAAGGCTGTAGAAGAGGAAACGTCTAAAAACATCTAGTGAATACCCAAAGTCCAAACTAGTTCCCAGGCTCATAAAGAAAAGATGTACAACAAAAAACTATCTTTGGTTGCATCTTTGTATATTTATCCTCTCTGCACAAAAATTATATTACATTGTAAGAGCTAGTCAGAGTATATGTTGATGTATATCATCCACACACCACTTCAACTGGCTATCTTTTTTATATTCAAAAGGACATGTGCCAGAACAAAATAAAAGACAAATACAACGCCAAAAAATTACTACCTCCGTCCCGGTGGACTTTGCCAAGTGCAAAGTAGGTGAGAAATAAAAAGAGATAATTATCCTAGGAATGACTAAAACTCAATGAGTTTCCCAATCTATGACATAACTAGTTTTTTTCTTAAAATAATATTAAAAAACGAAATATTTAATTAAATTCGAAAAAACTAAATAATAAATAATTTTTTGTGGGCAAATATACCCTCTAGGTTATACCTATAAAACCCTAATCTTCTACCCATATTCTCCCAACCTACCTACATCCGCTCCTGTATAACCTCCGCCGCGCGCTCGGGCAGTCGCCCCATTGATTCTCCACCAACCGTCTAGCCGCCGGCCATCGTCCAGCGCCGCCGCCGCCCCATATCTCTGGCCTGGGAGCATAGTTTCAGCCTTTCGACAATCGATCGCTGGCCTGGGTGCACAATCGCCCGACCTGGGTGTCTGACCAACCTGTGAAGGTAAACACTCCGTCCCGGCCCACTGGATTCCCGTCCGACCTCCGATCTATTGTGATGAATAACGCCGCCCACATGTGAAGGTAAACACAAACACTCTAACCCATTGGATTCCCGTCTGCCAATCTCCCATCCGTTCTGGAAATCAGCCACTAGGATTGTTGCTTTGACATCACCAAAAAACCAGAGTAAGGGGGCGCTCAATCTCGAGAAACGACCATCTATAGAGGCGCAGAAAGGGGACCGTACCTCTGTATCACTCTGTACAGTTTGGTGAAGATGGGTGCGGCGCTGATGTTACGTATGTGAAGATGGGTCAGGGTTGTGCTTTGGATCCGTCCATTCACTTTTCTAATTTTGAAAATTCGAATTTCTAAAATTAGGGTCCGTGGGCATTAAATATGGGCATTGAATATGGGTAGTGAATATCATTATAGGTATTGTTGTACATGGCAGTGATTACAACAATATATATGTTGTACATGACAGTGAATGAATGCATTAAGAAAGTTTTTTATGTAATGATTATGACCAGTAGTGCAATTTAATTAGACCTAAAATAATAAAGTTATCAAATCTGAAAAATAAAAAATAAAAACTATAAATAATTTCGTAAAGTGAATGAAAAAAGAATTAATTTTGGCGGAAGTGCACTGATTATTACCGGACGTGCAGTAATGTCATGCATTAATGTATTGCAATGAGACAACATAAAGTGTAGTAATTTTAATGGACGAAATTAGTGCAAAATGCACATATTTAAAATAAGGGTATTTTCGTCATTCAAGAATTAAATATAAACGAAATATTCTTTTTTTTTTTTGGATTTTCGGTCATACAAGTGTAAAAAAACTAAGGTAGTCATAGATTGGAAAACTCAATGAGTTTTAGTAATATCCCGGGAAATTTCCCAAATAAAATAGTAAGAACTGTGTGGTTGAGATTTGTGCAGAGGAGAGAGAAATGTGCAGAACCACAATTTAGTTGCTTTAATGGGAAAGTGACAAAGTTTCTGGGGACAACAAAAAAGGGAAAGTTGGCAAAAACCAACGGGACGGAGGGAGTATTAGACAAGGTGTTGGTATAAAGTTGAGAAGAAGGAGAGGACATAAAGCCTAAGCTAAATTTTTGGTATTAATATGGACAAAAATGTGAAAAATTCTACCATAAACTCAACAGAAACTATCAATTAATGTTTTAGTAAGCAATCCCTAAACCACAATTATGAAGGAACAACACTCGCCAAACCTCAGAGAAATCTTGTGTGGGGAACAAGGAAAAATTAGACATGAAAACTCAACGAACCCCACCCCCGATACAATGGGAATGCACGCAATGAAATTTTAAAGGTGGTGACGAAATGTTCAGAGGTGAATCTAGTAACTTGAGTGAATTTCGAATAATTGGATAAGATTACACATCAGTACAGTAAGGAAAAAAGAAGTCTGACAAATATGAATGAATCGTGTGATAAAGGTTTGCAACCATGTTGATATGACAATGATCTGTTTGAGTGCGATGCTTTTTATTTTTCTATTTTTATATCGGATAAGCAGGGTTGGTAATTTGTACTAGTGTTAACATGTACCGCATCGCTTAATGATACATAGTGTTGCTAGGGGTGGGCAAAATGGTTCAAGTCAATTGACCCGACCCGACCCATGATTTTAGAGTTTTGTTTGATTTCGGTTATCCAAATTTCTAAACCAACCCATTTGGTAATTATATTGACTATTGAGAAGCTGAATGGTTTGATTGAATGATCTCTTAGGTTAATAATGAAAAACAAGATTAACGCATCAAACCCTCTCGTGAACTATGAATCCAGCGCATTAGCCTCATATGATTTATAAAATGCGTCAAACCCCCTATGTTGTGGTTATATACGCACATAACCCCTTCTATGAACAAATTTAATTGACAAAAAATGAAAAATGATTTTTTTTTTGTATAATTTTTTTTCAAAACTACTTGCATATTCAATCATTTTATTAAGAAAAGTGATTTCAAAATTGTAAAATTTGTTCTTGAAGATTTTATGCATGAATAATTATACGCAAATTATATCGTGGTATCGGCATACCACGAACATGGTATGCCCGTACCACATACGGCACCGTTTTATGATAAATAAAAAAACAGAGAGCAGAGCTTCCTAATTTTCCAAGGTGAGCTGCTTTCGACCTTTCGTTCCTAATCGCTAGCTTCAGCAGTTCACAGAGAAGGTGAGGATCAACGTTGTCCCAATGTCCCATTAAATCCCACTTCCCAATCGAAATTGCAGGCCCAGAAATTTTGTAAGTACATAGTGGGATTGTGAGAAACTTCACATCTAATTAATTAAAAATGATAATTTCTTTATCTTCTTTATTTAAATGCCTTTTGTTTGGGATTCACACTCTGTTCAGACGTGGTTCTTCACATATACATAGTATTGTTGGATTCTATGTGTAATCTTATATCCACAATTACATTTGATAATATATGGAATTACATCTTTTTATATGCGAGTTACATCTTCATATGCAAGAGTTACATCTTTTTAGAAGCGAGTTACATCTTCTGAAGTGCGAATTACATTTGTAATAACATGAATTACATAAAGAAAACAACCCCTGGTATTCAAACAAAAAATGTTTTTTTCTAAATCCTTTATCATGTCATGATATCAAAAAACAAACATATTCACGGTTTACATAAACTAATTGTGCAATTAAACTCTCTTTTCCATAGTTTACATTAAAATCTTTCTTATACTATGTATTTCATAAGTTACATTTCGAACGAACTTGAGTTACATTTATCAATACCGTGAGTTACATATCTTTACATACGAGTTACATCATTCATACTACTGGGACAAAAAAACAGTTGCTATACATGTGTGTACTGTTCACGCGTTACTGTTCATGCGAAATT